ATTTATATTTGTGTACAAGCTGTTTAGATTGTCAAAAAACCTGTGTTTTTAGGGTTATTAACAAAGTTCGTGTACTCAGACCAGTAATATTTGGGGTCACACGTTTTTGCCATGGATATTTTGTGGGTCAGAAGATAAAAAGTTTGGGAACTACTGATATAGAGTATATAAAACATAGAGTACATAGAGTATATAAAAATATAAAGTACGGTACAGTACAATATGTGTACGCATGCCCTGTGCCCATGTTCCGCCCTTCTAACAGTTTACCATACAGTACCATGTGGCATCCAGCTGGTAACTGTTTCGCTCTCGCGTTTTTGTTTGGTGCTTGGATTAGGATACCACCCAAACACACCGTAGGCCTTTTCTGGACGACATCTAATATTTGCATTTTTTTCATAATTTGCGCGCACTCCAAGAACGTAAGCTTTGCAAAAATTGAAGCGTCACTATAAGAATACACACAAAGCAGTTGTAAAACATTTTATTTTGTTTAAAATGTCACATTTACAGCACTTTACTGGAAACTGTGGATGCTCGAATTTCACCATAAAGACTACAACAATGGATGACAGTGCAGTGAAAAAAGTAGAATTTATGTTAAGAAAAGAAAACAGGAGCTAACTTTAATAATGATGAGAATGTTGTTTTTTATTATGATTTTTTTAGCTGCACTCAGTCATGGAAGCAGTTAAACACAGTCCAACATTTTATGAGTGAGTGGTTTGAACCATTTATTTTAATGGAGAACGGAAGTGCCTTTGGGGGGTGGAGGGAGGGTGAGTTAAAACAGACCCCCCCCCCCACTGTTTCTTTTATTCTCTCTCCCCCCCCCCCCCCCTCCATCTCCATCCTTCCCTCCCACCTCTTTAACCGGATCCCTGGCTGCAACTCTGGGCTCAGCAGTCATGTAATCCACCTCTGCCTTCCTCCAAAGGGTTATCTCACTAAAGAACTAGGCATCTAGGCAAGCATTCATCTGGAAATGGGTGGTGGTGGTGGTGAGAAGAGGGGAAAAAAAAGGCACACAGCTTCATCCATCCGCGAGTGTCTGCAACGCAACACAAAAGTGTGCACGAAACAGAGAATGGCGACTGACATCACACAGCTCCCCGTGGCGACGCGGGGAGCCTTCATCACTTTCCCTTTCTCTAAAAAAAAAAAAAATTGCTCTTCCTGCAGGATCCGCACCGGCGTCACTCTGATACGACAGATTTAGACAGAAAAATATCGAAGCAAACAAAGCCCAAACTCCTTGAGGACTTCAGCTCCTCATGTTGTTACCTTGTGAAAAAGAAAAAAAAAAAGGCCCCGCAAATTACATAACTGGAATCTCCTCATCTTCCTCCTCCTCTCCTTACTGTTCGAACAGAAAACAAACATTGAGCGATCGATCCCAGAGAGATGGATAATGATGTGGTGTGATCATGAGAGCGGAGCCTGTGACCTGTGACCTTGTCCTTTAAGATTAAAGAGCAGAGGGGAGGAAACAAGCTGCACAATGCAAACGACAGAAGAGGGGTGAAGGTTATTGCTTTTTCACCATCGCACTTAATATCACCTTGAAAAATACGATTTGTTGTGTTTTTGTTGCCTGTATTGTTGATGGATGATGGTGTCATAAATCCTTCGTTTTGGATTTTGACGTTACGTTGAGTTTTATTGTTGTTTTTGCTCATGATAATTCCTGCTGCTTCATCAAGCTTTTGCTTTGTGTTTAACAAATTTGTTTATTAT